ATGCCCCGACCCGAAGGTCCTTGTAAGCAGGCATGCAGGCACTCACAAGCGAAACTGAAAGTTGGGCCGACTATGTATCGAGTGGATCTAGGACTGTACAAAAACGCACGTTACACAGTGGCAGGGCATTAACAACAATGGGCCAACTTACGAGGCTAGGTACGTCAGGCTGTGCACCGAAGGTACAAGAACACATATGTGTTACTGTATGTTGCAGCAAGCGCGGCACTCTCACATCGCTGCGCAGAGCGGTTATCATCCGTTATGAGTATGCCTGTGTCATGCGGCTGGTACAGCAGGCTGCGGTAATGACCTTCAGTGCATCGGCTGCCGTAGTGCAACAGCGCCGCGATGCGGCGGTAGGTGACAAAACGCTGTTCCAGTGCTTGCCCAGTGCCCAGACTACCGGTGAAAGCAGGCAGGACGATAAGCGGTTCAGGTGCTACTCTTTGAGGTGCTTTCGTGGGGGAGGCATGGCTGGGGCTATCACTACAGAAGCGGTTAATCTGTAGACACAGCACTGTCGGAGCGGTCACAAGGCCCAGCAGTCCAGCCTGATGATGCCATTTGTCAATTAGAACCTGCAACCCGAAAACCGGATTATGGGGACTACGGGTGTGAGGCAGGGCAGGATCATGAGGCTGGACGCGGAGCAGGTGCAGAGGCTCAGCCAGGAACAGTGGCCACGTGTGGCCTGCGTCCACACACGTCACTGGCGCAATGTCATCGGGCCTTCTGTTCTCCCAATCCCCTTGAGCAAGTGTGCCTAGTCTGGACCTAAGAAACCCAAGGTATTCCGCTATGTCATGCTGCCTATGAGGTTGCGGCCAGCGGCTGTGCAGCGAAACCCAGTTGATGCGCTTCCACAGAAGCACAGGCATGGTCTGCTTGCGAAGCCATGCCCAGATCCCTGCAAGCACGGATCCCAACAGCTCACTGCAGCTCGGACCTGGGAGAAAAGTGGAGACCCAGAGCAGTGCAAGCAAGGCAGCATGACTGTAGCAGTGATTGCTGGTGTTGATTAGGCGTAGGGCCCGGACTGCTCGGCGATCAGCTTCTGGATCAGCACGGCCAGAGGGCTCCGACCCATTTTCTCTCCACGCATGCTCATGATGACTGTGCGGCAAAGGCCGCTGTGGCAGATGCGATGAAGGTGTCCCCAAGCCACATGAGCCTCCTTGGTGCGCATGCCCAGTTGGAGCATCATGGGCAAGATCTGGCCGCCATGATCCCGGACCATTTTCCGGGTTGAGTGGAAGCGGAGCACCGTGTGGGGCAGCAGGATCAGTGCCTGGAGCTCTTGCAGAAGCTTGGCCGCCTGGTCGAGGGTCATGGGCTCCTTGTCCGTGCGGACCTTCAGGCACTGATCTTTCTTGTCCCAGCCGAGGTAGGGCACATTGTTCTGGGAATCCAGGATCATCATGTCCCTGGCCTCCTGGAGCGTCTGCTCCGTCTTGGTGCACTCTGCCAGGCGCTGGGTCATGACTGTGAGGAGGTGCTGCAGCAGCACCGCCCTCAAAGGAAGCGTGATCTCCTCCGGCTTGTCGGTCTTGGTCTGCTTCCAGACTTCCGAAACCTTCACCAACTCCGGCACCATGCTGAGAACTCCCTGGGTCTGGAGAAAGAGGATGAATCCGCTCTCCGTGCGATCGATGGAGAACTGGTCCTCGTGGCGCAACGCCAGCCGAGCCAGCGCCACACACAGTTCCCGAAGCTCGCGGTCTGAGAACTTCGGAGTCGGTGGCTTCCAGGCTCCCGTGTCCTGCCGGCCGCTGCGTTCGTCCCGGCTCCAGGTCTTCCACTGGCTGCCGCGACTGCCCCAGCTCTGCGTGGTCTCCTTGTG